TCTTTTAAAAACCATCCAAGTCATAGTTTTCTTTTGCATTAATTCATGGGGCAAGATTTTAGTGTCTAAATATCTCCATTGGTAAAGAGCTACACGCAAGGGCAAACCTTGAAAAACTGCCTGACCCTGGTGACAGGGCAGAGAAAACAGATGAGGTTGAAATAGTTGGCAGGTTCAGAAAAGAAGAGTGGAGAGAGATGACAGATCACCCACAGGACAAAGGAATCAAACCTGAAGAGTTCCCAGCAGTTAAAAGTGAACAATCTCATCAATGAAAGAAAAACACTATTATCTTATCAGCTATGATACAAATACTCATAGACTTGATATTTATAGCAGTCATGAAATTTATAGCATTTATGCGATTTATAGAATGAATGTCACCTATAGAATTGGTACACTTTATTGGTGATGGAAATTGATTGTTGGATGTGTCTACTTATAAGGCAAGAGGAGACAGAAGCGGCATTGGGTGTCAATAAACCTCAATTATCTCTGTTACTTTACTGGAAGTCTAAGGGCAATTTTTGAAGGGAAGTGTAGGTTTAAAAGGACATGGTGTGAGGGACTCTACAGTGAGAGCAACCACAGCCTGAATGAAGACTGAAGTCGTTTCATGACTGTGATCAGAGTTTGCATTTCTCAGATTCATAATTCAAAGTTGTTTCCAGTCAAACAACTGAAAGAGAAAGCTATATTTCACCATCTCTAACTCCCGGCTGTCCTCTCTACAGCTCTGCTCCGATCAGCCTTCTTAATATAATAATCAGTAACTACTCAAGTTAACTTGGCACTTACTTTATAGTCTAATTTTCCCACAGAAATCTTCTAATCAATCACTTTTTACACTTAAATAGCATCTACACTGTGTCTTTACATCAGGACTCTAGGCCATCCCAATCGCTGCACTGTGCTCAGCCTCCCAAGACTAAATGCTTTGCCTTCTCAGCATACACAATCGGGGATCACTTCAGGGTCTCTTAAAATCATGTCTCCAAAATACAAACAAGGACATTTAGAAGATGTTTTAAATTGTAAGTCACTCAGCAGTCTCTGTTTATCCTGTATCTAATCCAGAGATTTTGAGCAAACAAGTAGTTGTTATTGAAATACCTAACTGTAACTCCTTGAAGTAAAGTTTAAAAGTTTATAACATTCCACAAAAATATAAGTACACCAAAATTGGAGCATGGGTACATTATTTTCAGAAATCTACCCTGTTTTCCAGTCTTGATGGCAAACCCCAAAATAGCTGATAACCATGTAAACAAGCTGAGTTCAGAAACATGCAAAAACCCTTTTTCTTCCTTTTTGTTCTGATGGGCAATGGCGTCAACATGAACTCCAGATTCTTGCCTTTCTACAAGTAGCCTGCCTTGGCATTTGTGTCGATATGGGTGGTTCAAAAGCCCAGCACTCTGAACCTCAAACTAATCCAAACACAGCATAACTGCAGTGTTTTCAACCACCCTGGCTGATCTCACCTTTTTTTCATGCTGCATCCAAGATAAGATGAAGTGGGGGTGGGGCATCAGAACTATTGAAAGTACAAACCTCCCAACCCAGGGTCTGAGAATAACATCCGGAGATGAGATGGTCCAGACAAGAAGATGGTGAAAGCATGAGAATATTCATGCTGGACTCTGGGGTTCACTTGTGCCAGAAAGAGACAACCATGTTCTGGCCCTTGCCTGACTGGAAAAGCTCAGGCCCGGCCACCACGCTCTGCCTCTTGCTAGTTTGCTGCCAACTATTCAAACAAAATGATTCCATCTTCCCCATCCAATGTACACCCATGAGATACTATTAGACTCAGAGGGCTGGAGCTGAAGGCAGTCAGTGTGGGAAACCCTGCGTTCTGTCTGGAATAAAAAAAGAAGCAAACACAACAGAAGCAAGACTGGAAGTTTCTCAAAGGAAAGCGGTCAAAGCAAGGGAACGGCTGTGATGGAAATTAAAAGCAACAAGGTGATGGTTCTTTGAACAATTGAAAGAAACTGGAACTTCTTTTGAATATGTCCATATTTAGCTGTAAGGTAGACAGACCTCATCATAAAAACCTGTAAACATGCTCAGAGAACACAGGTGTTTTAAGACAAAAGCAGAATCCAGTCTCACACCGCTACACAGCTAACTTGGTCCACACCTGAGGCAGCCAAGTGGATAAAAAAAGGGAGTTTTTCTTTGTCTTAAGACAATTAGTCCACAGTGTCTCAATTCCATGTGTACCTGAAGAATTTGTTTTAAGTAAAACACAACCCTAACATTCATACTTGAAGAGTCTACCTTCCCAAAACCACCAAGTCAGAGACTACAAGGTGTCTGTGTGTGTGTGTGTCTTCCAAACACACACCCCATTCATAGGTATGTCCTATTCTCTCCTCTTCTCTTTTGCCAGAACATATGAAGTACATTGACTATACTTTCTGCCATCCATGCATATTAGTTTGTTGCTGGAGGGCTTCTCTCCAGGTTCCCCAAGCCCCACAGTCCCACAATCCACGTATAAAATAATCACTCAGACGCTTATATCACTTATAAACTGTATGGCCGTGGCAGGCTTCTTGCTAACTGTTCTTATATCTTAAATTAACCCATTTCTATAAATCTATACCTTGCCAAGTGGCTGGTGGCTTACCGGCGTCTTTACATGCTGCTTGTCCTGGCAGTGGCTCCAGTGGCTCCCCCTCCTTCTTCCTGTTTCCCCAATTCTCCTCTCTCCTTGTCCCGCCTATACTTCCAGTCTGGTCACTGGCCATCAGTGTTTTATTTATATAGAGTGATATCCACAACATTAGTTCATTGATTCTGCTAAAGAATGTTGTGAGGTGAGCTCAATTATAATACCCATTTTACACATGAGGAAATGGGGGGCATCAATCACCCAAAATAAATGGCCAACCTTTGCTTGAACTTGGCACAGGGGTTTGCTTTTAATCATATTAAAACTCTGTTATATTTGCTAGTTTGGGGGGATTTCTGGATAGTCTCGTTTGGAGTGAGTGAATGAAACTCACATATGACACACTTAACTCAACATGAATTTAAACCACTATCTGCCCTTCTCACTACTGTCTCTACCACAGAAGTCCCCATTGCAGTCCACAGGCGGCTCAACCACAGCCACCCAACTCACTGTGGCTAAGCAGTGGTCCTGGCACTGCCTCCCGAGGACAGTGCCCTCAACCTTCTGCTGTCTGGATTCTGAGTTGTGTGGTGGTTTTCTTGCCTGTTCTGTTTAACCTTTTATGGAGAGGTTACAGGAAAAAAACAGTGAGTTTCTCTTCACTAAAGAGGTGGGGCGCCACTTGAAATAGCTCCATTCAAGAAGCAAACACATAAAACCTGATTTCCAAGTGTGCAGCTTATTTTTTGTGCAAATGAATGAAGAGTGTAAAATTTAGGTTTGCTAGGACTGTGCTCGAGTATTTCTGGCTCACACGATGAGCAGAAGTCACAGTCAGAGTACATTTTAGCATGTGTGAAAGGCTGACCTAGTGGTCAAATTATTTATCAGGGAGATGTCTTCAAAATTCCATACACGCAAAAATGTGTTTTCATCCAGTTCTGGTCTGACTGTGAAGACTAAAAGCATTCTTCTGAGTATTGGGCACTTTAAGACTATGATGAAAACACACACACACACTCACACACACTACTGAACAATCTAGCAGAGATCATAAACAGTTTTATGGAATTCTTACATTCCTTTGACTCTGCTGTGAGGTGCTCCAGCAGCACGTGAGGTGCTCCAGAAGCACACGAGGTGCGCCAGCAGCAGCACACGAGATGCTCCAGCAGCACGCGAGGTGCTCCAGCAGCACGTGAGGTGCTCCAGCGGCACGTGAGGTGCTCCAGCAGCACACATGAAAGAAAACTACTTGGCAAGTCATGTGTTGACTTGTTTTTAACTGCATACAAAGCACAGTTCTTCAGGAATATACTTTCTTATTAAAGATTTTTATTTAAAATATAATGATATCACTTCTCCCCTTTCCCCTTTTCCCTGTCCTCCCTCTAGCCCCTCTCATGCCCCCTACTCACTCCCAATTGGATGGCCTCTTTATTTTTGCTACACACACATACACACACATGCATGCATGCATAATGCATATATTTATATATGTATATATATGTATACACACATGTTTTTATTAACAATTATCACATCAGGACAACATCCAAAATCAAGTTTTACTTACTTTTCAAGATGTTGTCTTACAAGATGTTGTAGCTGCTATGATAAACTACCATACACCAGGTGGCTTAAATGATAAAAATCGATGTGCCAATTCTGGACATCCAGATCTGGTTTTGTGGAGGACCCTCCTCTCTGCTCCATACTGGCAGCTTCACATAAGGAAAGTGAGCTCTTTGGCTTCTTCTTGTAAGCACACGAACCCTATTGATGAGGGACCCAGCTTTATTACTTTATTCTCCCAGGGGCTCCATCTCCAAACCACATGAAATGGGAACCAAGGCTTCAACAACTGAGTGAAGGGTCACACAAGCACACAGGACACTAGAGTCATACTGCTTACAACACATTTCTATAGAACATCCCATACTAACAATTTCAGTGCCATCCCATTTTAGCACATTTATATCATTCCCAACTCTGAAAGATTACAGAACCAGAAAGTAAGTACTTTCTGGCAAATCACTAGAAATAATACTAGTATTATTTAAGTCCATCTGCTAACCAGGAAACTTTGCAATTGGTAGCTGCTGGTACAGGGAAATTGGTTTTTTTCAAGCCCATCCCTGGGTGTATCAACTATATATACTCCAGGGCAGGCTTCATGCTCAGAAGTAGTTGGACAGTACAAACGGGACTCCATATTTTTGGTTTGTTTGTTTTAGTTTGTGTGTGTGCCTTTTTTTCTTTCATTTTTATTTTTCAGATAAAGAACATGAAGTTGAGTAGGGGATTTTGGAGAAGTTGGGGGACTGAAAATAATATGATCAAATATAATGCATGGGATTTTTTTTTTACAAAGGAAAAGAGAAAGATGATTTTTAAAACTCTGGAAATGGACAGAAATTCTCTAAGAGACATTCAAGCTCATAAATCCACCCTGGAGGGAAAAAGAGACACAATGATGGGGGTGAGGCAATCCACAGTGTTGTTTGGGGTAGCTTGGGTTCTGTCAGTCACTTTCAGTATCACTGCTGGTGCCCAAATCATCTACAATGAAGTGATGTTCTGGGTGAAAGACTTAGTACTTTCAGTATGCAAGGGGGCTGCTGGGTGTGGTGAAAAGGAGAAGTCCTGGAAAGGGGACTGAGCCCTGTTTGATGTCGCTCACAGGATTAACAACAGCTTCCTGATGAAGGGGCCTATTCACCTGTGCAATTGAAGGGACGTAGAAGTGAGTCCTGGAGAAGGAAGATTTAAGCGGATCATGAAAATACAAGCACCAGCTCTTGTCTCTCCCTCTCCCTTGTAACCTGTATTCCAGGGTAGTCAAATGGTCTGAGTTGCTGGGGTATAACGAGTCTGGTGTGCATTGTGTGTCTGCATGCATGCCTGTACTCAGCATGTGCATGGAGGTCAGAGGAGAACTTTCTGGAGATGGTCCCCATCATACGGTTTCTGGATCAAACTCAGGTCATCAAGCAAGTGCCTTTATATGACAAGCCATCTCTACAGCCCCAAAATGATTTTTTACAAGAAAGTTCTACCCAGTAAATGTGGCTGAAATAATAGAATTATCATAGACATGTGTTGCACCCTTTAGTGAAATGATGGATATGGGTGATGGCCACCAATGGATTCAACCAGAGTTGAGACTGATGAGGACTATGGTGTGGAGTCTGTTTGTTACCAAGGGAACCAGCTGGTCAATGTTAACACTCAGATGCATGGTTAGATGGAAGAACAAGCAGGAGGAGGAAGGGGAGAGGAGAAGGAAGAGAAACAGGGAGGAGAAGATCAAGGAGGGCAGACTTGAATTTAATCGAACCTCTAAAGCTAATTTCTATTTCTAGGTGATAGAGTGGACAAGAAATGAGCTACCACCAAAAGGAGACAAAGACTGCAGGGCATGCAATGTGACAGGTGACTTATTTCTGCAACAAGTGAATGGTGCCAATGAAAGAGGAGAGAGGAGCCCTGTTCCTGAGTGAAACAGAGAGACAACCAAAGTTGATATGTATGACTTATTTGGGGTATTATTCAAAACAGCCCTTTCTATTGCAACAACATGGACATTTTTCTTATAGAATAGGATGATCTCAAGGAATTACCATCATCAATGGTAGATCTGAAGTGACACTGATGAGCATGAAAATTACCATCGTTCTGAAGACAGCTAATAAAATAGAGGGTAAATTGTATGGTGGCCTAAATTTACTTTAAAATACCTCAGAAAAAGAAGAAAATGTGGCAGTGATAAATAAATCAAAGTTTAGTCGGCCTGTCCATCTCTGTTTACTGCAGCATGATTCACAAAATCTCAGAGGAGGAACCAACTTAGATGCCCATCAACAGACAGATGGATAAAGAAAAGGTGCACATATCCAAATCACAACATTTGCAGGAAAAATTGATGGAACAAAAGGTCACTATGTTAAATGAAATAAGCCATGCTTAAAAACAGAATGCACTGGGTGTGGTGTGGTGTATGCCTTTAATCCCCAGCATTTGGGTGGCAGAGGCAGGGTGATTTCTGTTAGTCTGATGCCAGTCTGGCTATCATAGTGAGTTCAAAGACAGCCAGCACTAGGTCTTAAAAACTCCAAAACCAACCAAACGAACAAATAAAAAATGGCAAGCTTTATCTTATATTTGAAGCCTAAATTTAAAATCATATGTATGTGGCTATCAGTGTGTGTTGATTGATGTGTGTTTTTAAGACAAAGAGTTAGAAATGAGATTGTGAGAAGGGAGGAAGAGACGTTAAGGGCAGGAAATAGAATGGGTAATGAGACCCACAGGGCAGGAAAGCAGCGAGGCACTGTCTTGGGGAAGAAAGAAGGTGGGTAGAGGCAGAGGGTGCTACTGGGGGAGGGGAATGTGAGATCAAAGTCCAGTGGCATGTGTATGAAGATGACATGATGAAACCCATCACTTTAAAATTCTAACCTAAAAATTAAAAAAAAAATGTATCAAAATTCCAGTAAGTAGAAAATCCAGTTTGTTGTGCTTTCCCTCACTTGTATTTGGAATTTTCATAATCATTTTAAGTTTTGCCACATGATTCAGAGCAGGCAGCTAGGAGTAGATTTGTGATATTCTAGTTAAAGGAGAGGCAACAAGCCAGAGTTCTGACTCAAGACATGGGACGGCACTGTCTGCACAGTGAGCATTTGGATAGGAAGGGCAGACATGGGAGCTGGGGCCAGGCCACAGGCACCTCAGTGTGCTCGGCTCTGGAGCTTGGGAGAGCCAGCAGGTCTTAAGCAGAGGTAGATACAGCCTCATTCCCACCATCACACCTCTAGGCCATCACAGAAGCAGCCCTAGCAGAGTAGATTTCGTGGAGGTTGGAGAAAAGGGAGCAAACTTTAAAAATGAAGCCCAGGTGAACTCCAGTGGAAATGGTCAGAGACTGAACAAGGGAGCAGAGGAGAGCAGGAGATGATGTGGGGGAGCTGAACTGAATCGTGGGAAGAGAAGGAAAGAGTGGACTTAAAGTGTTTGACTTTCTGATAGAATCATAAAGTGACATCATACTGGGAAAGGGAATTCAAGAAGAAAGGACTTCAGGCTGGGTGGGGGCGGGGGAGATCTGCTGATCAAATCCATGTTAACCATGTTGAGTTTGCAGCTTCCACTAGTACCCAGAGTGGCCCAGGACATCCATCACAACCACAACTATAGACTCCAAGAACACTCAAATATGGAGAGTAGCAGAAGCATCAGAAATCTATGTGAGCCCTCACTGAGTGGCCCAGGGACTGTGCCTTTCATTATCCACTGTCTACCGTGGTGTGGGGCTCAGAATAAAGACTGCAGAAATGCTGAGGTTACCCAAAGACAATGTCAAGACTGCAAGGAGCTCAGGGCCAACCTCTGGTGACTCAGTGTCAAGGAGAGAGACTCTAAGAACGCCTCTGAAGGAAATCAATTATCAATTTTAAGGGTCAGGAGAAGGGGAGAAGAGATCCTGTGGCCATACAAACTCAAAGAACAGAGAAAATCAAGAAAAAATGAGGAACTGTCCCTGTCAAATATAGAAAATGAGAAAAAGCAAAGTTAGGAAATGGTCCATTCATTGGCCAACACTGAGGTACCTGGTGATCTTAGCCTTTCCACCAAATCTCTGAGGCAAATGGCCTACTTTCCTACCCTAAAAATAAAGATAAGTAGCACCACAGTGGCCAGTCGGGAGACAATGCCACTATTTGTGTGACCGTGACCACGTCATTTAACCTTTCTATTCTTTCCTTATTCTTAAAATGAAGCCCGTGAACTGTATTATTCTGTAAGGTTACATTCAATTCTAAAATCCCACACAAGCCAATCCTTTGGTTTAAAGTGTTCTGAAGATAGTAAGCGCCAAGAACCCACTTCGACTTCCACAGCATTCTCTGTGGAGCTCTTGGCGTACTTTCTTCCCTCTGCTTCATTCACTCACCCCCCCATCTACAGTGCTCCCTAAATCCTCATTTGAACACAAACTGACCATGCTGGTTACGACGATGACAATAAAAAGCAGAATCGGGGCTTGTGAAGGCCACTAAATAACTTGCCTGGCAAGGATGGGGACCTGGATACCATCCATCAGAACCCACCTTAAAAAAAGCTGGGCAAGAAGGCTCCCTGCTCGTGATCCAGCGCTGGGAAGACAGAACAAGCTGGGTCCCTGGACTCAGTGGTCAGTTATCCTATCCAATCTAGAACTTTCCAGACTAATGGGGGGTCCTGTGTCAAAATAATAATTAATAATAATAATTAATAATATTAATAAAACAAAAAGTGATGGGCCCACGGAGATGGCTTGATGGGCAAAGGTATCTGCCTCCTGGTGACCTGAGTTCCATCTCTAAGATCCCTAGAGTGAAAAGAGAGGTTCCCACAAGTTGCTCTCTGACCCCCATGGATGTGTTATGGCATGTACATTCAAGTACACACACAGACACACAGACACACACACACAGACACACAGAAACACACACACATACACACAGACACACATATACACACACACACACAGACACACAGATACAGAGAGAGGGAAAGGGAGAGAGAGAGAGAGAGAGAGAGAGAGAGAGAGAGAAACAAATAAAAAAGTAATGAAAAATGTGAATGATATGTGAGGAACAATAGCAAAGCTTGTCCTGTGGCCTCCACATGCATGACCACAAATGTACGCACGCACATGTACAAGCACACATGGATATGCACATACTAAACACAAGGGTGGTAGTATTAGCCAGCCACCAAATGCTTTTTTATACCACATAAATAATACTAATAAATGAACTTCTAATATTTCTTGGGGCTTAATGAGCCATTGGCATGGCAGTAGCCAGGAGAGCATGGTGCCCCGGGGCCTGCAAACCTTTGAGAAGTCAGGTGCACACGCTCAGGAGGCTATGTCTCCTTTACATCAGCAAGCTCTAAAACAGACCCTGCTATCACTCTTCATCCTAGCTCAAACTAGTTCTAGGTCACTCCAGCAACCTGGTTACTTTTGGCCTCATCCACCCAATATTTCAATCATGTGAGACAAACCATAGTTTAACCCTGTGACCAGATATCAATCTACAGACACAAGGCTGAGGCAGTAGCCTAGCCTCTCCTGTTGTTACATTGACAAACGTTGAGAATATTGACTACAAGTCTTAGTACAAAAAGATCTAATTTTTTTTTCACTCAGTCTGTACTAATGGATACAGAAAACACCTTAAAGACAAATAAAAAACAGGTCAACAGAACAAGAAGAAATGATTCACACAGACTGAAACTTGTTGGAATGAACTTTCTCAAATTAATCTCACAATCAGTCAGCAACAGAAACAAGCATACAGATTTACACTCACAATAGATGTCTGTCCATCTGCTATCTGCAGTCAGTATGCGGGTGAGCGCTGTGTGTTAGAAGCCATTATAAACACAGTGTGAAGAGAGAGAAACAACAGACTAACCCCTACCAGCATGACAGAGCTGATACACACAGGTCAGCTGCCCGAGACAGGCGTGCCCGTGTCAGAGGTTCGGGGGGTCTGTTTCTCTATGGCTCAATCAACTGGTTCCAATTTTCAAATGTTCAATGATCTTAAAAGAGTCGTGCCCCCCAAAGGCTGATTAAGACAAATTAAATTAAACACCTCAAGGAAGGGTCAGGAAGTGAAAAGCCAGGCGGGAAGTGAAGGCCAGATAGATAAGCAAATAAGAGGCAGAGCCTCGGCTCCAGCTGGCTGTTGAGTGTGATCAGAAACACGTGTGCTGGTATCCTGGCAACTAGTGCACAGGCCATGGTCCTCAAGGTTCTGATATTACTAAAGACTTACAACCCTCAGGAGACCCTGACGAAGAGGTAGCTGAAATCAGTGAGGTCTAAAGTCATGCAAAGAGAAGCTTGAAGACAGGGGACATTTGTCAGATGCCATCATGATTGCATAGAACAAGCAAAAGGATTTTACACAGAGAATTCAAGATCAGGAGCCACACCCAGGAAATGGGTGTCCACAGCAAGGCCCCTGCCTGGAAGGCGGAATGAAGACAGAGAAGCCCAGAGCATCACTGGCATGTACCCCACTTGTTTTTCAAGTCACACATGTCATCTGCCCCTCCCCTACCTTTCCCCCACCATAAAGAACCTTCCACAGCACCGGAGAGTGGCTTACGTCTTACTGCACCAGGCTTGGTTAACTTTCCACACCTAACTTGTCAGGACAGCCCCAACCCACCCCCTCCCCTTGAGTCACACCGCCCAAAAAATACTTCCCATTTGGAGTTTCACTTTTAAACAATCTGTCACTTTTAAATCCACATGCTCTCTAAGTTTCTAATGTAAACACTGTGTTTTGGTAATCCCTTAAGTTCCAGCTTCTTCTGTTCTTACCTCAATACCCAAATGCCCAAGATAGGTTAACTTTCTATGCCAACCTACATGGTACCAACAGGGACTGCTGATCAGGCATGAGCCACAAACATTTAACCAGCTCAGATTGTATCAATTTGATTATTCCTAAAATATCTATATTTTATAAAACATTTATTAGTTTGATTTTCAAACACTTAGAAAGGAAAACCCCATAACCTTTCATTGAGCATCTACCACAAATGCTGTTTTCATTTCAAACCTTACTGAGCCTAATATTCATCTGGGAATTTGCATAATAAAAAAGCACTGTGATTCATTTTTAAATGGTGATACCTTTTCCACGT